TTTGCTTTAGGTTGTCCATGACCATCGTTTACAAGCTGTTTTGAGTCCTGAGTTCCAGGAGAAATGAGGCAAATAAATATTCTAAATAAACAAATTTCCACTCTGCCATAAAGCTCACTAAGTATCTTTGGACCAGTTGTTCTTTCCCAGCTTAACTTGCTTCACAGGGTTGTTGTGAAAATTCAGCGGTGAGAGAATGAGACAACTGTGCTGCCCTAATAATTAATAACCATCATATGACATTGTGTGTAGAATAGCCAGGAGATCCTAAAATTGATCTAGCTTTTAGTGTTATGCACGACTTGTTTTTAAGGCAAGAGACATTCTAGAGGTGGTTTGCCATTACCTGCCTCTGCGTCACGACCCTGGTATTCCTTGGAGGTCACACTACCAAATACTAGCCGAGGCCGACCCTGCTTAGCTTCTGAGATGTGATGGGATTGGGCTAGCCTGAGCTATCCAGGTCATGGACCTATGCTGCCCTGAGTTTTATGGAAGGTTTATAAAATGTCTATCCCCTCCTTTCCAGTAGCATGCTCAGAGGAGCTGACCAATTGAACAGAGGAGCCAGAGTACCCCCCCACCACAATGTGTTGAAGGAAGCAGGTTATTTTTTTGGGGGGGTGGGGTGGGGAGATATCCCTGCTACAGTGCCATAGCCCTGATCTATATAACTTCCTATCCCTCCATTTGCTTTTTGGAGTTAAATTTCATGTCAGAATTTCCCAATGATTTATGACCTACCAGCTGTGCAGCATTTCTGGAACCTTGTTTGCTTATCAGGTGAAAGGAAGGGGACTGGAAAAGAATGAATGGGGTGGAAGAGAGCAGCAGTGCCTGATGCAGACATTAGTCATTGTACAAAAACCTCCTGGTTGTGATCTGGAAACCCTGCATGAAAGATAATCTGACAAGCCAGCTCAGATTTGTACGGTTTCAAGCGCAAGTTTAATTAACTTCCCCTAGAATAATTTCATACCCATTTGGTTTCACTGCATCTGTACTGAGTACCATAGAACACTCATGCTTATCCATACTGCAGCGGTGCACACATAACCTGTGTATACATTTACGACAGGGGCACCACTTTCCATTCAACACAAGGGGCAGAGGCCAATGGAACTCTTTGGGCTTCAAAAATTGACACAACCAATTTATCACCCACATAAAAGTCCCCAATACCTTGATCTGCAGGTAAAGCTGGGGCTACAGCTAAACGGATAACCTTGCATTTTTGTGGCATATGCTATAGAAAGGAGGTTTCAGAATGCCCAAAGAAAGGGACCACATGCACACATCACAAAAGAATCAGCTCCAAGTAGAACCAACTCCCAAGAAAATCACAGCAAAGATACATAGATATTAAAAGTTTGAAAAGCATTAAAATAATGCCTCTGGGAGGGAAAAATAGATTGCCACTGCAGGAGCAAGAAACTTGCATGACTTGCAACCAGTGTTCCCTCTAAGCTGAGTTAGTGTGAGCTACCTCACAGTTTTTCAGCTTCTGGCTCACAGATTTTTGTCTTAGCTCAGGAAGGATGGCTCCAGAGCCAACTAATTTTTGCAGTAGCCAAATCGCTCGCTCACAACTTTAATGCCAGTAGCTCATACAACAGAATTTTTGCTCACAAGACTCCACGGCTTAGAGGGAACATTGCTTGCAACCCTGTATCAAATGCTGATCCTGCCCTTCCCCCCATGTGGATTGCTAGGCTGATATTGGGACCAGGTTCAGATAGGGGGTATTCTTCTGCACTTTGCAATAAAATGTCAAAATGCCTGAAATGGAAGGGGGATTAATCCCCCTTCCCCCCAAAAGGAAGGAAGGAAGGCTGTGGGGCAGGTGAGAGTTGGCAGTGTTGCAGACAGCTGGAAGGAGCTGAAGCCCCCCCCCATGAGCGAGGCAGCTGCTCAGTAAGCAAGCAAGCTGACCAAGAAATTGATGCTCCCAGAATGGGGGGAGAAACAATGCAACCCTCCCCCACGAGTCTCACAAGTCCCTATTTATATGCTAAAACTGGAAATAAGAACCTGATTTATTAACTCCAAAGAGGATGCATGCCTTCCTCCTAAGCAGAACTCCAGAGGTATGCAAAACTTTTTTGCTTGCAAAAAAAAAGTGTATTAAGATGATCTATTGATTGATTTCGATATATATCACATTGTAGCAATGTTACCCAGTATGGCGTAGTGATTAGAGTATCAGACTAGGAGCTGGGAGACCCAGGTTTGAATTCCTACTTTGCTATGGAAGCTTGCTTGGGTGACCTTGAGCCAGTCGCACACTGTTAGCCTAACCTACCTCACAGGTTTGTTGTGAGGATAAAATGGAGAGAACAATGTAAGTCAGGAGAAAGCCAAGGTACAAATAAAATGAATAAACTATTACCATAGGACTTAAAAATCAAATGGATTTGTTCATTTCACATACATAAAGGTAAAGGTTCCCTTGCTTGAAAGCCAGTCGAATCCGACTCTAGGGTTGCGGTGCTCATCTCCGTTTCAAAGCTGAAGAGCCAGCGCTGTCCGAAGACGTTTCCGTGGTCATGTGGCCGGCATGACTAAACACCAAGGCGCATGGAACGCTGTTACCTTCCCACTGAAGTGGTACCTATTTATCTACTTGCAATTTCTTGCTTTCGAACTGCTAGGTTGGCAGGAGCTGGAACTAGAGATGGGAGCTCACTCCATCATGCGGCACCCGGGTCTTGAACTGCTGAACTACTGGCCTTCCACAGCCTGCAGTTCAGCGTCTTAACCACTTGAGCCACCGCAGCTCCATTACTCTGCCCTAAGCAGGTATTAAGTAAGTATAGTGCTTTAGGCCATTGGAGATTTGTATGTTTTGCTATTTTAAATTTCATTTGCCTCACCACCGCATCACTAATTACTCCTGAGGGAATCTGAGGAACTAATACCTCCTGGATGAATCTGTCCCTTGAAAGTGAAGAAGGTTCTTGGATTACTTTCAATGGTATGGATTTATTTGGCCTTGATTCTTTGTAAAGCCAATTTCATTTAATCAACTTCATTTGTCGAGTGATCTGTGTCTGTGTGGGTCAGTGTTATATTGAAGGACAGTATTATTCGACCCCCTCTGTGACAACAAACACGGAGTTTGCTTAATTTCATGTTTGTTGCCTCAATAACACTGTCTAACCACCTCATCCTTTGCCATCCCCTTCTTCTTTGACCTTCAGTCTTTCCCAGCATCAGGGTCTTCTTCATTGAGTGCAGGTGCAGACCTAGTGGAAAGTGTGTACGGGACGGGAGGGTCCTTATCAATGCTTCCTCTAAGCTGTAGAGTCTTGTGTGCAAAAATTCTACTTTGTGAACTACTGGCATTAAGGTTGTGAGTGAGCGATTTGGCTGCTGCATAAATTAGTTTGCTCTGGAGCCGTCCTTCCTGAGCTAAGACAACAATGTGTGAGTTGGAGGCTAAAAAACTATAAGCTAGCTCACACTAACTCTGCTCAGAGGGGACACTGGTCCTTATTCTCTTCAAAGGCCAAAAGAGCAACTCGTAGAATTCAATGTCTCCTCAATGGTATGTTCGAACCTTCAGAAAGAGTTAGAAAGCCCACACTGCCAAGCTTACGATTTGTGACAGACCATCCCCTCCCCAAGGAAACACAAAACAACTGCTCATTTTGTCTTGACGTTTATTTTTCCATGTTTAACTTATTCAGATATCACATTTTTTTCCTACATTAAAATATTTTCATGCTATCTCCCGCCCCACCCCCCTGCCTTCATCCAGAAAAAAATAGAATTGACACAACTTTGATGGAATGCGCTAGAGTAAAGGGGAAAAAAAGGCAACTGCACCCAAGTTACGGAGCACACAGACCAAAAAACGGTACGAGGAAGATCTGCATAGGAGAGAAAGAACTGGAGGGCCACGTTGGGGGAGGGGGAGATGATGGAGCCGGCGCAGTCAACGCCACCTGAGCCATCATAAACCTTTTTGAGTCAGCTCCTAGTTATCAGAGAGGAGGCTGGCCAGCAGCTTGCAACCTGGGTCACCCGAGCAAGTACCAGGCATGGCCCCCCTGGAATAGCCTGGCAGGCCGGCCAAGAAGGTACAGACATCCTGCTTGCCCTGGGCTTGGAAGCCTATGCCCTACAAGTGTTTGTCAGCGACATACGAACTTGAGCTCTTTTGCCCAGTTTCACACGGCTAGCCAGCTCCACGTTTGGAAGGTGGTTTAGAACACAGAACAAGGCTAGACACGGTTCAATGCCGAGTGTCACGCACGAGGGCTATTTAACAGAATTAAAAATATTTCCTTCACAGGTTCCTGTTGCCTTTGCCCTTCACCTGGTGCAATTAGATCTTAACCGAAGCCATTAACTCTCTGCCAGGTTCACACCTCAGGCTGTTTTGTGGTGTGCATCTGAAAGCACTCAGCTGCCTGCTGGGATCGTCTTGTGAAGATTAATACTGTTCAGGATAAATATTTATTAGCTGGGGGGGGGGAGGCAGCCACTCTGAGCACAGGATTCCAGCTGCGACTATTCTGGAATTGAAGGGAACAGGTGGAGGGAGTCCCTTACTCTGCTGCTGCTTCACATTCACACATGTACAAAACTTGCAGGCCAGAGAGTCCATCTGGCCAATTCAACTGGCAGTCCCAGCAGTGGTTCCCCTGCCTAACTCACAGAAGAGGTAGGAATCTTGTAAATGTTAACTGGGCAAGCACCAGGCATGCAAACATTTGCAATTTGCATTTGCAACGTAAATTACTCTCCATTTTCTCAGTCATAATTGAAGCTAGCAGTAATCTGTGGGTTCGACTTGCCACAACAATCTTCCTGTTGTGTTACAGATGCACCCCCTCCCCCAATCTCTTCAGCCAGCTAGCTCAAGCGGACAAATCTGTGCTACACTGTAGGACAGAGTGGAAAATTTTTGAATGGACCAAGATGACTTGAGGAAGGAACAGAGATTTTTTTTCTCCTTGACTCTTGTTCAACTCAACCTTTCCATGTGATTCAAGCACTTCCAAAAACTTCCCCCCAGTAAACCAAGAGGGCAGAGCTAGTATGATACAATCGGCAGAGCTAGTATGATACAATACCTGCCCCCCTGTTAATGTAAACCATTCAAGACCCAGTTGTCTGAGAAAGGGGGCAATATTTTAAACTCTGTCAGCTTCAGCCCATCAGGAACACTGGCACGAATATGTCACTTATTCTTGGTTTAATTACAGGGAGGACAAGTAAACACCAACACAAGGGAAGAAAAAAAAACCCAGCGTTTTCACAAAGCTGAAAGGTGCGGCTAGTGCTTTGCAGTGGAGTCTCGAGGGTAGAATTCTGCCAGGGTGCTCTGCGGGATTCTCTTCAGCATCTCCTTGGGGAAGATACGCAAGAGCTGCCAGCCGATGTCTAGCGTCTCGTAAACAGTGCGGTTCTCATAGGGCCCTGCAAGGAGAGCCATTGGCACGGTCACATACTGACAAAGACCAAGACTTCGCAACAGTAATAAAGGCACTTGTTGCCCTACGCGGGCATCGGACACCTACCCTGAGCAATGAAGTTCCTCTCAAACTTCTGCAGGAATTCAAGATAGAGAAGATCATCTGAAGTAAGGGCTTCCTCCCCTACAACAGCTTTCATGGCTTGGACATCCTTCCCAATGGCATAGCAGGCATACTGGGAGGAAGGAAAGAAGGTTCAGAGATGGCCGGCTAAGATGCTACGAGTCAAGCTATACTGAGCAGAGCCCTGCACCGAAGCCAGGCATTTTCCCTGCAACGGTTCACCTGGTAGCAAGTCTGCTGAGCTTTAGGCATGAGAGAAGAACTTGATTGTTTCCCCAGTCATTTTGTTTAATGGCACTGTTTTCCCCAGCCCCGATTCTTACCTTTGCTTTTGTTGACTCTAAAAGCCACATCAGGGAACTAAGCTCATTTTTGCCCTGTTTCGTGTTATGTGCTTTAGTTCGCTACTGTTTATAAACCGCTTTCAAGCAAAATCTACTTCTATTGATGTATGTTTTAATCAATATGTGTCTTAAGGATCTTGTTGGGAGACAAGGATAGAAATATTTTAAGAACTAGGTTTAACATTACCCACCCACTCCCAGGATATGCTCGTTGTTAGTGTTAAGGTCACACCTACCAACTGGTTTGAAACCTCAGCATGATCCTTTCTGGTCATCCCCTCTCCGATAGCAGACTTCATCAATCGAGACAAAGAGGGAAGTACATTGATAGGTGGGTAAATCTGGAAGGAGAAGTGGGTTTAAGTGATGTCTGAAAACTATGAGCTGTCGAGCAGGTGATTAGTACAAGTGTGGCTGGCAAGAGATTAAACATGGTAATTTAGGGAAAGTGGGTGGCACCAATTCAATGCTTAATGTGATTCAATGCTTAATGTGTTGGGCTGGGCCTGGGGAGACCCCAGCTCCAGTCCCTGGCTTGTCATGTAGCTCACTGGCTGATCCTGGGCCAGTCATTCTCTTTCCGCAGAATCTCCTGTGCAAGGTGTTTGTAAGCATGAACTGGGGGGCCACCTATGCCTCCTTGGAGGAAGGGAGGAATAAAAATGCAGTGATAAAATCAATGAGCCAAGATTTTGCTCACAAGATAGAAGAAAAGAGGATTTATACCCCGCCCTTCACTACCCAGGGGAGTCTCAGAGCAGCTTACAAACTCCTTTCCCTTCCCCTCCCCACAACAGACACCCTGTGAGGTAGGTGGGGCTGAGAGAACTCTGACAGAAACTGCTCTTTTTCAAGAACACCTCTGACAGAACTATGGCTTGCCCAAGGTCATCCAGTGGGTGCAAGTGGAGGAGTGGGGAATCAAACCCGGTTCTCCCAGATTAGAACCTGTGCACTTAACCACTACACCAAACTGGCTCTCTGATATCTGATACTGGTATCTCCTAGCCCGACCTCTTCCAGAGTTCTAACGACTAACATCTCCACTGCGGAACATTCCAGATGGGCAGCAGTTAAGACTGTAGCAGCAAAACAAAGAAGTCTAGAGGCACTTTAAAGCCTGACAAAATTTAATCCAATATAAACTTGTGCCATAATGAACTATCAGTCTTTAAGGTGCCACCGGACTTTCGTTTAATATTAAGGAACTCTCAGTAGGCATTTGTTTCCAAACAGATCTAACCTGCACAGCAAATCTTCCAGCAGCCTATGAACAATAGAGCTTTCTGGCAATCTCAAAAGAAAACCAGTACTGCATGGCTGAACTGAAATGCCTTTAAATCACTCACAGCCCTTCAAGTTACATGCTAGTAATACACTTCTTGTGATCAAGCAGCCTGGAAAATTTGAGCCAAGCAGGACTCTGACACACTGTAAAATTACAACTGCCAGAAGTACAGAGGGAGCTTCATTCTGTAGATGATCAGACAGGGCCCCCCTCCCCACCCAGCAGCCTGACCTGTCTGTTGTGCAGCTGTCTGTCCACGTAGATCTGTCCTTCAGTAATGTATCCCGTCAAATCAGGGATGGGGTGAGTGATATCTGTGGGAGGAAGACACGTTAATGCTTCCCAGCTTCCTCTGACCACTCCAGAAGAGAACAGCAAGACTCAGCCGGTAGGAGGGCTGGAAATAAAGGGCGGTGCTTTCTCCCAGCAGCCCAGGTAGTACCTGCAGCACTGCCTAATAACTGGGCTGTCAGCCAGCATCAACAAAAACAGGGATTCTTGTGGGACAGGAAAGATGTGTAATGCCTGGGGGATTCTTGTGGGACAGGGAAGATGTGTAGAAAACAGGGATTCTTGTGGGACAGGGAAGATGTGTAATGCCTGGGCAGCAGGAGGCTAAAGAGGAGAATACCTAAGAAGTTTCTGTCCTGGCAGAAGGAAGCTGCATGGGAAGGGGAAGAGAAACAAGGCGCCCGGGAACCCTCCCCCCTTCTCCCCGACCAAAGGTATGCAAATCTGGACACCTGTCAAACTAACTATGCATGAGGAGTTTGTCATCATTACTAGTATACAAGATACGGAACAGGACTCCGTCGAGGGTCTTTTGTGAAAGGTGCACCATTTCAGGTGCTGAATTAGTGTCCCCTGGCAAAGCCAGCAAGAAATGGCAATCAGCTTTGCTCCCAAGTCTCTCCTAAACTCGGAGAAACTGGGCTTCCCTTCAATCCCAACGCAATTACACCCCCTGCCTGCCAGTAGCAGGCATGACGATCCTATGCAGGGACACATGCCTAGATAGAAAAGCACACTCGATGTAGACTCACCATCGTTGGGCATAGTAAGTATGGGAATCTGAGTAATGGACCCATTCCGGCCTTCCACTCTTCCCGCCCGTTCATAGATAGTGGCAAGATCTGTGTACATGTAACCAGGGAAGCCACGCCGACCCGGCACTTCTTCCCTGGCAGCTGAGACCTGTAGAAAATGGAAAGTGGAAACTAACAAAAAGCTGGGGGCAGCAGCAGAAGCATCAAAGTCATGTGGGAATGGGAGAGCACAAAAAACAGATCACAAGCACCAAAAATTCTTTTCAGTCCTTGGCCATACAGTACTCTTCCTGCCTTTGCGAAGCAGAGTGCTGATCAGAGGTCTACCAAAAGGCCAACACCGTCCCCCTCCTCTCTGTCAAAATGGTACTTAGACTCTCCTCGCACAACAGAGCACCATGTACGCTTGTTGGATGCTTAACCAACTCTTGCAGCTGCAGCACAGAGCTTGCAGTGCCACATCTGAAGGCCTCATTATGGGGCAACTCTACACTGCCATGGTGGTAACAGAGCACTAAAGTGGAAGCTTGGGAAACACAGGAAGAATCCCTCAATGAACATTTCTTCCTCTTCAAGCTCTGAAAACCAGGTATGCAAAACACCAGGGACAGTTCCAAACCTTGCCCAGTCCCCAAGATCAAAAAGAGGGAAAGTGTTGCAGGGTTTGGAAGTCTATCACATGCCTTTCTAAATTTCATTCACTGCCTCTCTGTGGAACTGTCCTGGAGGGAGGGAGGGAGGGAGGGACAAAGGGGAAAAGGTTGTGGGTGTATGCTCAAGTGTTCAGAAGTAATATTTATTCATCAAGACCAATAAGCAGCAGATTTACTGCAGTAATGTTTTGAAAACAGACTTCATAAATGGGCAGAAAATTCAATAATGTGGTGCAATGTGTGCTTTCTGTTCCTGGATGTGATTTAGTTAATCTGAAGTAATTTATAGCCTGGCTCAGAACCAGGGATGCTATTCAGTCTTTGGCCAACTAGGAGTTTCCACTTTCTGACTTCAGTAATCTCAAGGCAGAGACTAATATGCTGAACAGGGAAATAAATACCTCTCTCAGAGCTTCGGCATAGGAGCTCATATCTGTCAGGATAACTAAGACATGCTTCTCACACTGATAAGCCAAGAACTCTGCTGTGGTCAATGCAAGGCGAGGTGTGATAATGCGCTCAATGCTGAAAAAGAACAAGGGAGGCTGATTAATTTGGGTCGCAGACAGGCAGCCGGTACGGAACACAAGCTAAATCTGCTCTTCAGAAAGGGCAGTTAGGAAATAAAAGCTGGCCACAGCAATCAAGATACGGCATAATCGTTTTCCCTACCAACCAAACTGAAAGATGTTACAAGCACCATAACATATTGTGGGTAGGATACAGACAAAGTTTTCCAACAGTGGAACAGAACTTTCCTGCCTCCCACTATTCTCCATGAAATACTGCTCCTGGAGGATAGGGGACCCTCGGGAATGACATCAGGCGGTCTGCAGCAGGAAGGGGAACTGGTGGAAGCTGTCAATGTAGTCTGGAATCCAACCCTTTAACTATAGGCAGAAATGCCATTTATGAAACCAGCGGTGACTGGTCTGCTGATGTAGCCCAACATGAGACCTACCTACATAGCACCCCAGTAAAGACTACGGCAAAAGGATATTATTATGTCACTTTAGTAACAGCTGTCAGGAGCGCAAGGCAGGATAGGCTGTTGAAGCTCCTCCCTTTTCAACTTCCTTAGTGACGGCCCATGCCATAAACAGTGCAAACCTGTTTCCCACCCACTTTTCTCCATGCAGGAGTAAGTGCCCTTTGCACCGTCTGATGGCATTGGGGGCTCAGCAGGTTGCTTCATGTATACTGCAAGGTTCTTTTTCTTTCCAGCAATAATTCTTAGTGTCCAGTGCCTGAGATGGGCCACGTGTCTTTGGGCTTCACAGGACGGCCATCCTGTGTTGTCACCCTAACTGCACTGTACAAAACCCCACCCTCTTTCCAACCAGGGAAGCTCACTGGTGGCACAGCAAAGCTTCTGAGTGGTTTGTGATTTACTCAGTCCTCCTCTTCCCACAACGGCTGCCTCCCAACTTGCTTTGGGAAGAAGCCTCTTCTCATTTCCTGTCTCCCTGTTGTGAACAGGGCCAGGTTTTACCTACTTACGTTGGATCGTTTGCCAAGTTCAAGAACAGGCACACGTTGTCCATGGAGCCATTTTCCTCAAAGTCTGATTTGAAGAACCGAGCCGTTTCCATGTTCACCTACAGCAGAGGCAATTAGTTGTAAAGCTCAGTCCGATTTATTGTTAAAGTCCTCAGACCAGTCATTAAAAAAAAAAGTACACCTTTACAAGATTCTGAAATTTTAATTGGCTGCAAAGCAAAAAGGCAACTTAAACCTCAGCTGTGGAATTTTTTTTTCTAAAGCATTAAAGTTCAAGGAGCCTCACCAGCTCTGCCAGCTGTTAACCCATAAGAGATGACGAATTTATTCTGTACTCTTGCACAACTGTGCCTTTGATCTGTCAGGGCAAGACAGAGGCCAAAGAATCAACTCTTCACTTTGCGGTGAGATGGGTGCACCATTCATACTTCCACTAAATTTATTATCAATGAAACATAATAGTTTCTTTGGTCCCAGTTGCCAGGCTACCACCAAGAGATTTACTCTGTCCCTTCAAAAGAAGCCAATTCAGTGGGAGATGCAGCAGCCATATTTCCCCAGCCCTCGTATCCTCCAGCTCTACTTAACTTAAGCCCATGGACGGCTTCAAAAGGGAATTAGATAAGCATATGGAGCAGAGGTCCATCAGTGGCTATTAGCCACAAGGTATAGCTAGGGGCTCTGGGGCAAGTGATGCTCTGTCTTCTTGGTGCTGCTCTGGGTAAAGTGAGCTGCTTTTTCCTTGGTGCTTGGGGGGGGTCAACAGTGGGAGGGCTTCTAATGTCCTGGCCCCACTGCTGGACCTCCTGATGGCACTGGTATTTCTGGCCACTGTGTGACACAGAGTGTTGGACTGGATGGGCCTTTGGCCTGATCCAACATTGGCGTCTCTTATGTTCTTATGTTCTAACTGTGTAGTGCATGCCAAGTCCAGCCTGCCACAGCAGGTGGAGGAGACAGCGGACCAGAAGACTGATGAAGGAACAGGAAGGTGAAACTGGGGCTGCTCTATCTCCCACTTCATCAGTGTCATGCTCAGGGTCCCACCCAGGTCCAGAAAACCCAGTAGCCGTGTTGCAATTTGATAGAGGAAACGAGTGCCTCAGATTTGGGAGTGCTGGGGGTTACGTCACACCCCAGCTGCCTTCCTCAGACTGACCTTCTTTCTCTCTGTGTTGCCTCTAAGATCAGTCTTTAATTCCTCCCCGGCACTCGTCAGTTTCCTCCTTTATATATCCCCTCTCCTCCCCTTAGTGCCACCCCTTTTAGGTGATTAATAATCCTATAGGCTGTACCACTCATCCATCACCGTGCCCTTCTATCTCGTGGTGCTTCATCCTCTTTAGGCCCGCCCTCCTGTATAACCCGTGCTTCTATCCCATAGCTGTGTATGTGAGGGAGTGTCCATTTCCAGTCTATGCGACGGGACCAATGCCAACGTCCTTGGCACCAGCACTTCTCAGGGGTAAGGCTGGAACCTGCCACCTGTCCCGCTCCTTCAACCGGGCCCGTCCCCCTTCGTGTCTCGCGCCCATCCAACGCGGTCTGTGCCAGTCCGTTCTCCCAACCTCTCCCCTTCCGGATTTCTCCATCCCCGTAGTGGGTGTTGAGGGAGGGTTTTGGGGTCTCGGGGAGTTCTGAGCCCACCACTCTTCCCTGGGATTTGTGGGAAGCTTGGCGCGGGTAGACAATCAGTAAATGGAAAAAGCAAGGCCCTGAAATCTCACCAGTCAACCTTATTCTTCTCCCAATAAAACAACCTGCTTTTTTCCTCATTTTGTCTGCGGTCAGTTTCTCCCCAGAACAAAAATATGCGGTATACATTAAATCCACTGAGAACTGATATTTGCTCTTTATCACATCAGAGTCCTCTCTGGGTTTTTTGGAAGTTCTCCTTTCGGACAAAGCTACATACAGTTAAGCTTTTTATACAGGTGAACAAAGAGTGACATGGTCTAATGAATCCTGTTCTGAGGACTAACATTACAGCTCCTTGAGTGGCACTAAGGAGAGCTCTGCCCTGTTCTGTAGCTATGCCATAACACTACATAAAAACATAAGAGCTGGAATGGATCCCAAGGGTCATCTAATCTAACCCACGGCACAATGCAGGAAATTCACTGCTACCTCCCCGCCTCACTCCTCCAGTGACTCCTGCTCTATGCCCAGAGAAAGGCAAAAAACCTCCAGGATCCCTGGGGCCAATCTGGCCTGGAGGAAAATCCCTTCCTGACCCCAAAGTGGCAACTGGCATTAAACTGGTATATGCATTACTACATCCATACAGAACTGCTTGCACTTCCTGCCTGCCCATTTACCCACTTACTCCCATAGCAGCAAACACAATGGCAAAATTCTGTTCGCTGTAGTCCATCACATCTTTGGATTTCTTCACCAAGCCTGCCTGGCGACAGATCTGCGCTGCTATCTGAAAGAAAGGAGGTGAAAGAGCTGATCATGTCTTCCGTGCACCAGGCATTCGTTTCCGGAAAGAACTCAAGGGGCAAAGATGGGGAGACTAGACACAGTCTGCATCCGCATGTGTCAAGAACAAGACAGCTGCTACGTGTGTTGGAATCTGTCCACTCAGCACCCATATAGTAGAACAAGGCTGAAGGGATGCAAATACTGCACAGCTGAAACTCAAATCAGGAGAGTGAAAAATTCTTGGGAAAGGATGGGAATTCTCCCTCCTCATGTGGAGAAGATCACTTGCCACACCTATGCACACTCTCATATCTGCCAACGTTTCCTCCCTGCCTCAATGAAACCTAGCAGCTGCCTGAAAGCCAGATTGTATGAGAAAGGGCTGTCGTCCAGAAAGCACTAGAAGACACAATTTCTTTTAAGAACATTGATCTAGCTCTAAAAGTCAAAGTTACAGCTAGAAACACCCCCCCACACACAAATAATTCTAGAATATGTAAATACAGAAAACTAGTTTTTTCTTAGTGCTTTCAACATAAAGCGCCGTTAAAGCACCTACCTCATTATGGGGCAAGCCAGCAGCTGAGAAAATGGGGATTTTCTGTCCTCTGGCAATGCTGTTCATGCCATCTATAGCAGAAATTCCAGTCTGAATCATCTCTTCTGGGTAGATTCGACACTCAGGATTTATTGGTTGACCTATTTCATGGAGGAAAGTCCATCGTTTAAGCCCATGCTTTGCTTTAAAGGCAGCTTAAGACAACTTCAAGGAAAGGATATAAAAGCCAGCATTTTGGTTCAGACATTCGAGAGCTGACAAGAAGTTTCCAATACTTTTAGCAATCATGAGTGTTTGGAAACGTGTTTGACATTTTTGAGCAGCATAGGCTGAGGGAAACAAGATCTGGTATCGATATTCTATTAACACACTTTGAATAAGTCACTGTCCTATTTAGATCCCTAGATGTCCCTTTTCTCCTCAGTGGGAAACCAAAACAGCTTACATCACTCTCCCCTCTTCGCTTTTATCTTCACAACAGACAAGTGAGGTAGGCCAGGCCACATGTGTACAACTGGCCCAAGGTCACCCAGCAAGCTTCATGGCAGAGGAGGGATTTGAACCTGTGCCTAGTCAGACACTTTAATTACTACATCTGAATATTTGAACATTTCTTGTTTGTTTTTGGTCTTGCTGGTAGATTGCCTGGCTTGTATTTATTATCGTTTTAATTAGGACAATAATGATTTTATTTGCTACTTCAAAATCTGTACTGGTTTGAGAACTTTTGTCCAGAATGCAGCACAGAAACACTAAAAATACCAAACAAATAGAAGCTGCCAACTAACTCAACACAAGCAAACTGAGCTTATGCATGGCTAAAGCCCTCTACTGCCAATATTAACTCTGAGCTAAAGGGCAGACTTGAAAAGGCCACCCTGAATGCCATTTTCTGAAAGGGTACAATACAGATTGCCGGATTTAAGCGTACATATAAATTGAGGATTAGAAAAGATAAGACAAAATGAAGGCTGAAGGACTCTGAATTGTGTCTTTAAACTTTAGTTTTATGGTGGGATGCTCTGGGGGCTCTCTTAAATGGTTAAAACATTGGATAAAAAGATAAAAACTTAGCATAGTCGACTATGTTCAAAGTGATGCTAGCAATTTAAGATTAACATTTATAAGCTGTTGTTATGATCTCCTATACTTGGGGTTTTAGTTAGTTGTGGTTTTCTTTCCTTTCTCCCTAGATGTAGTTACCCTTGCCCAATTTTTTGTTGTAGGTTGTAGTGTATTAGAAAATTCAAATTAAAAAAATCCCCTTTGGGGGGCCAAAAAAAAATACAGATTGCCGGATTTTGGGATCAGTACAGTAGATATTAACTGAACTCCTGCTTTATTTATGCTAGGAAGAAATATGTACAAGCTGAGCTCTCAGCCCATTTGTGAACATCAGGCTCAACCCTTCAGCACTCAACAACATTTTATTAAACATACCCATGATATCAAGGTATTCTTCAGCCAGGACCATAGGGCCTCTGTCTATGGGCTTTCCTGATCCATTAAACACACGCCCTTCGAAGACAAGAAAAACAGCATCCGTCATATTAGCAGATTAATTTTAACAGCCATGTTAATATAATCATATCAATTTTGGTATATGTGAAGGATTGGGAACATCATCAGTCCAAGCAGATCTTGTACCTACCGAGCATGTCTTCCGATACTGGGGTTCGAAGGATATCCCCAGTAAATTCACAAGATGTTTTCTTAGCATCAATTCCTGAAGTTCCTTCAAAAACCTCGAAAAAAGGAAGATGAGTATTTTTTTTCCAAATGCCGTGAAGTCTGACAACTGAAGCTCTTGCTTCAGCAGTGGGGCAGGATAATTTTCTAACAGATTAACATTAGCTAGAAACAGGTTCAAATAACCTCGTATGTATGTGACGTATTGTCTGAGAAAACCAAAGTAGTTTAACTTAACATGGAAAGAAAAGGAAGGCTAAATCTCAGAGCATATAACTATGTCAGAACGTGGACCATTTATGATAGTAATATCTAAGAAAGTGGAAGAATCTGAAACTTTCACAAATATGCACAGCATCTGCAAGCTAAAATGAATATTCTTAAACTATTATACTTTGTTAAATACAATTACCTGGAATAACACACTAACCATGTAAAGCAAGGCATTACAGAGAGAGAATTTCAGTGGTGGCACGACAGTGCGTACTATTCTGTACTGTGCTGGGTGCACAGGTAGCCTGGTTTAATACTGATAGTCCTTAACTAGAAGCTTCTCAGAAATCCATTTGAAAGGTTTGATATTGTTTTTGCAATATTATAATACAATTACCTGGAATAACACACTAACCATGTAAAGCAAGGCATTAGAGAGAGAGAATTTCAGTGGTGGCACGACAATGCGTACTATTCTGTTCTGTGCTGGGTGCACAGGTAGCCTGGTTTCATACTGATGGTCCTTAACTAGAAGCTTCTCAGAAACCCATTTGGAAGGTTTGATATTGTTTTTGCAATATTATAACCATGAGGCAAGTACTGCACACAATGGAGCCTTGTATTAAAAGTTTCAGAGCAGCAAGGAATGTTTGCACTGGGAGAAAGCAAGTGACCCTCAAGAGGATTTTTATGTACACCAGAAATTTCAGTCGTTGGAGCAATAGAGAAATCAGTACCAGTGCCAACTCAGAAGCTTTATGGATGCATTATCATATAGCTACCATGATGTGAATCCCTCAGTTCAAACGAAGTGGCTGCTCAAGTCTAAAGATCACAAAAGACTTCTCTCAAAATTATGACAAACTGCATGGAGGGCAATACTCTGAAGAACGCTAACTATGAATTGGAAGCAGGAACTCCATTGCATATCTTTCAGAGAGCACACATTTCTCGATTTCTTATATATTTTTAAAAATCTAGATATTCAATTTCTGGATAAAGAATTCTGAAATGCTAGTCGGCGGTATATCACTACATTTTCAGATGAATACAGGCATTCAAGTAAAGAAGGGACAAATCTGATACATTTACGGTGGAACTATGAAAAGATGAAAAGCTACTGGAAATTAACACCAGGCACTATTGCAAAAATAACAGGAAATACTCTGCAGATCTCCAGAGTTTTGCTACATATACTTTAGCTGGTAAACAGATTCTGTGCCAGATCAGCCTGTTGTACTCCATTGTTTAACATACCTGATAAGCACACCACTGGTGATTGAGGCAAATAGGCTTTCAATTACAGATTGGTGACAAAGAACACGGGAACTGATGTTTATGAGCGAATTGAGGGAAACTGGATGCTTCAAAAGTTCTGAAAGCTTGGGAACCATTTATTTCTTACTGGAATATAATCGTTAAATAATGGAACGGATACTATTAACATGTCACATTATACATTGTCACCACCTTTTTACAACTGCAATAATAAACTATGATTAAAATTATTACTCAATGACCACAGAGAAATTCTGCAACTGAATGGATAGGGAGGAAGGTTGCCAGCTCTGGGTTGGGAAAGACCTGGAGGTTTTGGGGGTGGAGCCTCGGGAGGGCAGGGTTTGTGGGTGGGGAGGGGACCTCAGTGGGGTAGAATGCCATAGAGTCCACCTTCCAAAGCAGCCATTTTCTCCAGGTGAACTGAAGAATGATTTTAGTGCAACCTATACCACACCACCCATGGGATGGATCTCTAAGTTTCTGTTCCGTTCATGCTTAAAGCTTCATTTTTTTAAGCAACCTCGTTCCTTTGCTTCCAAGATGTTGAGAACAGACAGCACATAGATCAACCTTGTTGCTCAAACCCTAAGCTTGGCCCATGTAGTGCAGATCAGGTAGCTGCACTTGCAGAAGAATTTGGTAGTTTCTGCAATGACTACTAACTATTGTTTATAGATTCTGTTGGACTAGGCTCCTGAATAAAGGGCTCTATACGTCCATGAGGTGTCCAGAAGGTCTTCTTCTACCCAGGAAGAGAGTCACAGGACAGGCCATCCGTGCCACCCAACGTGCTGCTCTGCCATTTACCTGAACCACAGCTTTGGATCCACTGACTTCCAACACTTGCCCGCTTCTCTTTGTTCCATCAGGAAGTGTCAAATGCACAATCTCTGCGTATCTAGGAAACTAAGCCATGGGAATCAAGGTAAGGTACGTCAACAGGTTTCTGTTCAGAACATAAACGGATGCAAACATCAGATTCCCCCAGAATCACACATACCAAATTGTGAAGTTCAGACACCCTGAATTCAAGACAGTTATAATTTAGGTGAATGCTAAAGGCTGCTGCTTGGAATTTCAGAGTTCAGGAAGTTTTTGCCACTTCATTCACAGTCCCGGAACCTGGAGTGCTCCCCTGCATAGTTTCTATCAGCATCCTACTCCTGAAAAGTAGTAGCACTGCCAGGTGGGTTTCCCATCAAAGCAAGCCCTGTCAACAGCACCTGACTCGTACCCTGAAGGAAGCGTAGGGTGCAATCTGCCCTCATAACTTCTGAAGATCAACAGTGCTGTGTAAGGGATGAAGGCACTGCAGAGAAAACCTTGAACTCTGGAAATTCCTCTCTAGGGCTTTTCAGGGCACACTAAATTACAGGCTAAATTACAGGCAAGTGCAACAGCTGACACAGCACTGCTGTTACATGCCCACAAAGCCTCCGTACTAGCACTGAAATCGGGACCTCCTGAAAAAAACCTCAATTGCCCCAATTTCTGTTTGCTCCTTAAAATGCCAGCTACAGTCTGCAAATCATGTGAGACTAAGCAGCCACATCATAAAACACAACATGGGCCTTTCAAAATTGTAGCTAGCAGTTTACAGTTAAGGAGTTTCTACATACTTTAATTTTGGTACAATAAAAGAAACTGCAAATCAGAACTTGCTTGAATCCCCAGCATAGCACTTTCAAAACTGGAGGTTAATCAGATACCCTGTGGAGAATAGGGATGGGCATGAAACTCCCCATGACTCTAAATTCCTCATGAAAATCCCCAGGTCCCGGTTCATGAACCGAGGTTTATGCCCATCCCTGTCCACAACCCTTCACATAGTTTTTCAGAGGTTTGTGTGGCTTGTGGGGGGAAGTGGGGAGGGGGAGTGAGAGGGAGTGCTAAAATGGTTTGCATCCATTTCTGCCTAACAGTGGGGCCGGTGTGCCTGTCTGCTGTTAGGCTGAAATACACGCAAGTCATTTCAGCTATTCCTTTTGCTCTCCCACCGCTTCCAAGGGATCGCTAAAATAACTTGTGGGCACCGTTCGGCAGTCTGGTTTGAACCAGGCTGGTTAGCAGAACCCCTGCTGAGGCTGTGGGGACAGCTCTTCCTACAGGATTGGCTCCTCTATGGACTCTGCTGGGCAGTCCGGTTTGAACCAGGCTGCCCAGCAGAGCCCCTGCCAAGGTTGCGGGGAGAGTTTGGTGTAGTGAGAGCCAGTTTGGTGTAGTGGTTAAGAACGGGGAACTCTAACCTGGAGAATCAGGTTTGATTCTCCACTCCTCCACATGCAGCTGCTGGGTGACCTTGGGCCAGCCAGTCAAAGTTCTCTCAGAGCAGTTCTTTCAAGAGCAGTTCTCTCAGAGCTCTCTCAGGCCCACCTCCCTCACAGGGTGTCTGTTGTGGGGAGAGGAAGAGAAGGAGATTGTAAGCCACTCTGAGACTCCGAGTGAAGGGAGGGGTATAAATCCGATCTCCCCTTCTTCTCCCCACAGATCAACTCCTTTGCAGGCTCTGTTTAGCAGTCCGGTTTGAACCAGACTGCACAGCAGAGCCAGCGCACCTTGCACAAGCCATTTAAAGGGAACGTCTCTTTAAATGGGTTTTACAAGGCATGTCACACATGAGTGAAGTCTGAGTTCACCCAGTCGCAAACCTCAAAATGAACTGGTTCGGTAACTGGGGAGGCTTGCGAAGATTTGTGGTTCGTGTGGCCCCACAAACAATGAGCCAAAACAAACCTCTGCTTCCCTGGTTCGACACCCCCCCCAGTGGAGAG